GGGCGGGGCGGGGGCTGGGGGCGCCGCGGGGCCGCTCCGCCAGAGGCCGCCTAGCGCGCGGACCGGCTCCCGGTTCGAGTCTCACGGACGGGCACACTGAGGCCTGGAGAGGGCTCGGGGACAAGGCTCGGGCTCGAGTCCCGCCGCCGCAGGTAGCCCGCTCGGAGGCCGCCTCGGGCCGGTGGAGGAGCCCCTGGAGAACATCCCCAGCCCTGCTGGTGGCTGACGATGATCTTGAGCGAGTTACTTCGCACATCCCCCGCCCCCCACGCCCCCGACCCTTTTCTCTAACATAATAGCACTTAAACCGGAGAGTTGGCGTGAGGAGAAAATAAATCAGAGCTGGTAAAGCCCACAGCATAGTACCGGGGATGTAGTTAGGATAAGCGTCCATGGTTCCTCCAGTGGTTCTCCCTTCAACAATCACGCATCACCCTTGGTGTGCCAGGCACTGTGTATAGGGTCATTATTGCAGTGCCCACCAGCACTCTGCTACACAATTCTGTTTAACCAACACGTCATTTTAGCGGAGAGGAAACCCAGGGAGGTGAAGTTACTTGCCCAAGGTCACCCAGCTAGTAAACGACTAAGTGCAAATACATCCCCAGCCTGTGCTCTTCCTGCAGAAGTGGTCCGCTGTTAGGGTGGGTCCAAGGAGGCATCCCAGAGCCAAGCACATCTAATTTGGCTCTTGAACGAGTAGTCTTCAAGGGGGATGGTCATTTCAGGCCGAGGGAGCATGTGTGCAAAGACACAAAGGCATGATACCGGCTGGCTGGCTGGAGGGACCTGTGTGGCAGGAGTATGGGAGACATGGCTAAGGTGTTGATGCTGATGAAGTTAGAGAGAGAAAGGAAGCCAGACATGGGAGGAGGTCTTTGCATGCCTACATAAAGAGCTCGGGATTTATTTTGTAGTCAGTGATTTTTAAAGTGTGGTCCTGGGAACCCTGGGTGTCTCTGAGATCCTCACAGGGCCCAGTGAAATCAAAATTATTTTCCTACTAATGCTAAACGGTATTTGCTTTTTTCATTCTCATTCTCTCACAAGTGTACAGTGAAGTGTTCCATACGACATACGACATCGCAACAGATTAAGTGCAGAAACACCTTTTAGAATCCAGCTGTCTTAAACCAGGCGTTAAAAGAGATTTGCACAAAGGTAAAACACCACTATTCTTGTTAATTTTTTCTTTTAGAAAATATATATTTCATTTAAAAGATGTTTATGCATATACTGGGTTTATTATAATTTTTAAATTAATGTTTTTATAAATTTTCTCAGTTTTAATTTCTAATATGGTAAATACCTATAGAAGTAACAAACTGTGCACAAAAAAAGTTCTTTGAGGTCCTCAATAGTTTTTAGGAGTGGAAAGGAGTCCTGAGTCCAAAAGATTTATGAATACCTGGTATAGGCAACAAGAAGCTACGGAAGAGTTTTAAGTAGAAAATGACTTAATCAGATTTGCATTTTAGAAAGAGCTTTCAAGACCTAAGCTAGGCCCTGAGGGATGAGTTCACAAGGCACAGGCATAGAAACATGAAAGTGCAGGGCTGGTAAGCAACAGAGCTATAGTACGGTCTTTTTGTTCCTAATTTGATATTGCCTTGCCACCTGACAAGTAAGCGCCAGGGCATGTATCCCACTTTATACCTTTATTTCTACTTTGCCCTGTGTCGTGAGGATTCTGCTGATGTTTGCTGTGGATACTGCTGCAGTTTCTCATCCAGCATAGTGTTGCCTCTTCTCATTTCCTATTTTCTGAAAAGCAGTTGAGTCAGGGATGCAGACAAGAGGAAAGGAAGAGGTTATTAATGACAGTGTGAGTGGGTGTGGGAATCCTGGCAGAAGGTGCCCTAAGGCTACATACACAGCCTAGGGTATCCTTCAAATACTTCTAGAGCTCTTCAGGTAAGCGAAAAAGAAAACAATTGCATGAAAACCTCTGCTGTCTGGAAAGAATCTTTTGAAGATAAGTTACCCCAGAGTTCAGAGAGTCTGTTCCATTAATATTAGAAAAATTATCCATATCAGATGAATAACTTTTAAAGATGTATTATAAACTCCCTAGCCATCCTAATTTAAATATACAGAAATAAATTTAGTATTTTCTTGGCTCATTATGAACGTGAATCAATAGCAATACTAGGCCTTATTATTAAGAAATCCTCTTGGGCTATTAAAGAGTAAAGACTATATTGCACCTTAACAAATGGCCTCAAAATGCTATGCTTTTGGAGTTTTCATGATGATTTCTTAAAGTTTCTGGTTATCCGCTGCCATTCTCTTACTTTCATTATGCCTGTCCCTTTATATCTGCTTCTAATCTACTAAAGCCAAGAAGGTAAATAATCCAAGTTTACTGGATTCACATCAAATACCCTCTGAGCAGGGGTCTGAGGGACTATCCTGGGATAAAGAACTGAGAAGGCCAGCTGTGGTGGCATTAGAATAGGGTGGTTGATTATGAGCTATGGAGTTAGCCTTAATTTTTCTGGTTTCAGTTTCTTCCTCTTTAAAATGGAAATAATCATATACCCATCCCAGCAAAGCATTTAGTCTATGTTATCAGCCCTTCCCCAGATTTACTTGTCCTCAGTTCCACTTCTATCCATATAGAATCCTCAGACTTAACAGGTTAAAAACCAAAATCATGAATTTCCATCCTAAACCTTCTGGATCTGTGTTCCCCATTTCAGATAATGACACCACCATCTTCCCAGTCACCCAGGCTTAAAAGTGTGGTCATGTTTTTTAAAATGCCTCCCTTTCCTCCTCCATATCCAGTCAATTTCCAAAGCACATTGTCTTTGCCCTAGTGGAGGCCCCATCCCCTGGACTATTGGAGCTATAACCTAATTCTTGACTCTCTTCTCTCAAACTTGCCTACCACAGCTGCCAGATCCTGGAAACATCATGTCACATTCCACAGTTCATAAAAATAAGTCCTCACTACCCACAGGAACAAAAGTCCAAACTCCTTAGCCTTGCATCCAGGGCTCGCCATGTTCTTGCCCCAAGCTTTCTTTCTTAATTTATTTCTTACTCTTCTCCTTTACTTACCTTTTAATTCTCTTGTAGTTTTCATCCTGTGCTACTCTAGGCTTTTCATATACTGTTCCATCTTCTTAGAATGCCTTCCTCTCTGTTTCTGTATGTCTAAATCCTACCCATCTTTTAAAACTGATTTATACTCTGATTTATACTACCTTTGAGATAGGAGGTGCTCAGCTTCCCCCGGTTTGGGTTTCAGGACATACCTTGTTTCAAGCCACTCCCCAAGGTCTCAGGCTCCTCCTCTAGGCATTCCCCTAGAGAGTTACAGTTGCTTGTTACACTTATTACACTTTCAGTACCAACATTGGGAGATTGACACCATAAGGGGTGGACTTATGCAAATCAAGTGGCTGAGCATGCTTGGTAGAAAGGAGTTATATAATTCTAGTAGCTGAGCATGCTCAGTAAAAGGAATTTATACAGGCTTATATGACCCCAGTGACAGCATGCTCAGTGAAAGGGAGTTTATCGTTTGAATGACCTTCCACTGGAGGCACCAAAGAGTACAGAATACAATATGTTCTGCACATGTGATAGAATTTGACCAATGAACATGCCCTAAAAGGAGACCAACTAAGCATGTGCAAGACTGTGTTACATAACTGGTAACCAATTCCTTAATTGAATATTCATTAGATAGCATGAATATGTATTAGATAGCAAAGCTATAAAAGTTGAATCCCAGCAGAAGGCGGGGTTGTTGCCCACTTCTCCTGGGGCCATCCCAGACTTCACTGGGGAGGTGTGTATGCTTTACTTTTGTGTTAAGCTTACTTCTAGTGGGGAGCTGCTCACTCTCTTGAGCAGCCTACACTTTGTACTAAACTGAGTATTTCTTATTTTTGTGTTAAACTTGGTATGGGCCCTGTTCAGTCTCTGGAGCTAGGCTACACTTTTCTCTTTGAAGTCTGTGTTCCTTACTTTGCTACATTAAAACTGCTTTCACTTTCTACTGTGACTCTGCTCTTGAATTCTTTCCTGTGGTGGAGTCAAGAACCTGCTAGAGGACACGGTGGGTCGAGCCCAGCTATCTGGCCTCTCCAGACCCTCTCTGGTATCACCATGAAGGCTTCTATGATCATCCAGCTTGAATAATCAAAACTAACATTTGTATAATGCTTACTATGGACCAGGCACTCTTCTAGATGCTTTGAATGAACTGTCTTAATTCTTCTTACAATTTAATTTAATTTTCACAACAAACCTATGCAGTAAGTATTGTTATTATTGGTATTTTACAGATAAGAAAACTGAGGCACAGGGAGGTAAAGTAACTTGTCCAAGGTCACAGGGCTAGTAAGTGGTGGAGCCAGAAGAGCAGCCCAGCTCTAAAGCCCACCTTCTTAACCACTGTGTCAATGTGAAATGGGCTCTTCTGCCTCCACTCCTGTTAGCTCTCATGGCAGGCCACACAAACCTCTCTCAAGGGCTTTATCACTTTCTACTTCATTATTGGTTAACATGTCATATCTTGCCTGACACAGTAAATTTCTTAAAAGCAGGATCAGGGCTGGCTGGTTAGCTCAGTTGGTTAGAGTGTGGTGTTATAACACCAAAGTCAACGGGGTTTGGGTCCCCATACCCTTTTAGCCACCAAAAAAAAAAAAAAAGCAAGATCAGTGTCTGATCTACAATAGTACCTGGTGGATGCTTAGTAAGTATATTTTTTAAAAAATGAATGAATATACTGGGCCGAGCCTGTGGCGCACTCGGGAGAGTGCAGCACTGGGAGCGCAGCAGTGCTCCCGCCGTGGGTTCAGATCCTATATAGGGATGAGCGCTCACAGCGCTCACTGGCTGAGCGCGGTGCGGCCGGTCTCAAAAAGGACAAAAAAAATATGAATGAATATACAGTAGAACACTCTATAGCAATAAAAATGAGTGATCTGGAACTGGATTGACAAACAATGGTCCTTGGGCCAAATCTGGCCCCCCCTCCTATTTGTGTTTGGCCCAGGAACTAAGAATAGTTTTTACATTTCTTAATAGTAGAAAAAAATCAAAAGAAGAGTAGTATCCCATGACATAAAAAGTATATGCCAACATTTTATTGTAACACAGTGAGGCTTTTTATGGTTGCCTTTGTACTATGATGGGCCTTATGACCTGCAAAACCTAAAATATTTACTATCTGTACCTATACAGAAGATTTTGCCAACCCCTGATCTTGAGCTATGTGTAATAACATGACAATATCTTAGAAACAGTATTGAACAAAAAAGGATAAGCAGTATTATGCTACTTATATAGTTTTAAAATAAGGAAGACAATACCAATTTTGTTGAGGGCCACACATACATATACAATAAAAATATAAAGACATGCATGGAAACAATAAACCTCCAGTTCAGGGTGGTGGTTATCTCTAAGGGTTTGGGAGTGGGAATGTCAACAGGGAGGAGTACTCAGGGGATTCTAATGATTTGTGAGCAAGGTGGAGGGTACACGAGGGTTCATTGTGATATTCCTTTTTCTTTCATATTAAAAACAATACAAAATGTTTCATGAGAAATGAATAAATGAGGTTCAAAGACTTTTTGTCTTCTACTTTGGCTCCTTGAAAATACTTATATTTGGGTTTCACCTATAGCTAAGGTGTTATGTGAAATATAAATCCTGATGCCCCTGCTGCACTAGATGTAGAATGGGTATGAGTATCATTTTGAACATGGTGACTCTCAGGTCACACACGGGTGTCCTGATTAATAATACCTCTGTCAACAGCGTTTCTTGGAAGGAAGTTCACCCAAGCCAAGGCTGGGGCAGCAGCTGGGGAAGCTGAGGCTGCGCTGATTGCTTTGTCTCCGGAATAGGCCTTAGAGCATTTATCCAGGTATTGGTCTCACTATTAGTCTGCCCATCTTTGGGAATAGGAAATGGACAGAGTGTACCCAGGTCCTGTGTAGTAGGCAGAATTAGGAATAGCCCTAAGGTTACAAGAATAATTAGATACAGCCTGAATCCAAGGAGCCCATAGCTGGAGAAACTAATATGTTGACGCTTAATAAGAGGACAATGTATATGTGCTTATATTAGTTTTCTATTGCTTCATAGCAAGTTACCACAAATATAGCAGCTTAAAACAACACTCATTGATTAGTTTACAGTTCTGTAGGTCAGAAATCTGACGTGCAGTGGTTGGGTTCTCTGCTTAGGGTGTTATAAGGCTGAAATCAAGGTGTCTGGAGGCTAGACGAGGGAAAGGTCTGCCCCACACTCCTTCAGGTTGTTGGCAGAATTCATTTCCCTGTAATTGTAGGACTGAAATCCCCATTGTCTTGCTAGCTGTCAACTGGGGACCACTCTCAGCTCCTTGCCACATGGACCCATTTATCTCATTGACAGAGAACCTCCCTCACATCAAATTCCTCTTATTTTCTGAATCACACTCCTTTCTAGCAAGCATGCTCAGCCACTTGATTTGCATAAGTCCACCCCTTGTGGTGTCAATCTCCCAATGTTGGTACTGAAAGTGTAATAAGTGTAACAAGCAACTGTAACTCTCCTCTAGGGGAATGCCTAGAGGAGGAGCCTGAGACCTTGGGGAGTGGCTTGAAACAAGGTATGTCCTGAAACCCAAACCGGGGGAAGCTGAGCACCTCCTATCTCAAAGGTAGTATAAATCAGAGTATAAATCAGTTTTAAAAGATGGGTAGGATTTAGACATACAGAAACAGAGAGGAAGGCATTCTAAGAAGATGGAACAGTATATGAAAAGCCTAGAGTAGCACAGGATGAAAACTACAAGAGAATTAAAAGGTAAGTAAAGGAGAAGAGTAAGAAATAAATTAAGAAAGAAAGCTTGGGGCAAGAACATGGCGAGCCCTGGATGCAAGGCTAAGGAGTTTAGACTTTTGTTCCTGTGGGTAGTGAGGACTTATTTTTATGAACTGTGGAATGTGACATGATGTTTCCAGGATCTGGCAGCTGTGGTAGGCAAGTTTGAGAGAAGAGAGTCAAGAATTAGGTTATAGCTCCAATAGTCCAGGGGATGGGGCCTCCACTAGGGCAAAGACAATGTGCTTTGGAAATTGACTGGATATGGAGGAGGAAAGGGAGGCATTTTAAAAAACATGACCACACTTTTAAGCCTGGGTGACTGGGAAGATGGTGGTGTCATTATCTGAAATGGGGAACACAGATCCAGAAGGTTTAGGATGGAAATTCATGATTTTGGTTTTTAACCTGTTAAGTCTGAGGATTCTATATGGATAGAAGTGGAACTGAGGACAAGTAAATCTGGGGAAGGGCTGATAACATAGACTAAATGCTTTGCTGGGATGGGTATATGATTATTTCCATTTTAAAGAGGAAGAAACTGAAACCAGAAAAATTAAGGCTAACTCCATAGCTCATAATCAACCACCCTATTCTAATGCCACCACAGCTGGCCTTCTCAGTTCTTTATCCCAGGATAGTCCCTCAGACCCCTGCTCAGAGGGTATTTGATGTGAATCCAGTAAACTTGGATTATTTACCTTCTTGGCTTTAGTAGATTAGAAGCAGATATAAAGGGACAGGCATAATGAAAGTAAGAGAATGGCAGCG